GAACAAGCGGAACTTATTTCTTCCTTTCCTCCTTTTATGATGTCTTATGGGTTGAATGTGCCCCCCATTCATGTGTTGACGTTTGGTCTTAAGAGGGTGAATCCTGGGATCAGCAGTTGGCGTAATGACTCTGTCGCTGAACTCCCATGTAGCCAACTGCGGTTCGCGTCCCGGACCCGGTGGCTTAAAACTCATGCCGGGCGCGTGTGCATGCGTGCCCAAGATCCTGAGAGAAGAATGGAGGAGAAGAGATTGCAGTGTGGCCACCCCGCCTGGGGGATGATTTCTCGCTTTCTGTCTCCTGTCTCTCTCTGTCTGTCTGGGAAGCACATGCGCCCTATAGCAAAAACCTCTAATAAATAAATAAAAACATAAATAAATAAAATAAAGAGGATGAATCCTAACCAACTATGGCCTCAGAGGTGGGACTCTAGGGAGGTGGTTAGGAGTAGATAAGGTCATCAGGGTAGGCCTTGTGGTTGGACACTGGTGGTTTAATAAGGAGAGAGAGACCAGAGCTGACACATGCTCCTGCCCTCTCTCCATACGACTCTCAGTGCCACCCTGTGACTCTGCAGTGTCCCTACCAGCAAGAAGGCCCTCAGCCCACCAGAAGATGCACCCCTTAACCTTGGGCCTCCAGAGTCACGATCTGAATAAATATTTATTCTCCATGAATTACCCGGTCTGTTCCAGTTACAGCAACAGATTTATTTTTCTTACCTCATTGTCTTGGCTAGTACATAAATGTGATGTTCAATGGGAGTGGTGAACAAGACACCTTGGTCTCATTCATGATCACAGAGGGATCGCTCAGCCTTTCCCAGTTAGGTTAGTGTTAGCTGGAAGCTTTCACAGATGTCCTCTGTGTAGAAATGACCATGTGGTGTTCTTGTTCAGTCTATTAGTGAATTATAGGGATTGGTTTTTGGATGTCAGAGAAGCCCTACATTCCTTGAGTAAATAACACTTGGTCATGATACATTGTCCTTTTTATATATTTTTGGAGTCCATTTGATAGTATTTAACTTAAGATTTTTGTGTCTCTGTTCATGAGGAAAGTTGTTGTCTAGTTTTCTTGTAGTATCTGTGGCTTGGTATTGGGGTAATGCTAAACTCAAATGAGTTGCCAATTTTAATTTTTTTCTTTGATTTTCTGCCAGAGCTTGCAGAGGCTTGGCACTATTTCTTCTTTAAGTTGGTAGATTATACAGTGAAGCCATTCATGCCTGGGATTTCCTTCATGGGAATAGATATTAAACTATTCAAGTTTATCTTTTTTTTTTAAGCTAATTCTGATTATGTCTTTCCAGAAATTCTTTAATTTTATCTAAATTGTTGAGTTTATGGGATAGTGTTTGTCTTAATCAGGTTGGGCTGCTGTAACTAAATACCATAAATTGGGTGCTTAGCAATAAAAACTTGTCACAGTTGTGGAGGCAGAGCAGGTCAAAATCAAGGTGCTAGCTGATTCAGTTTCTTATGAGGGCTCCCCCCTGGCTGGAAACAGCTGCTTTCTCACTGTGTTCTCACATGGAGGTGAGAGAGCAAGCCCTGCTTTCTTTTCTTATGAGGCCACAGTCCTACTGGAGTAGAGCTCCACTCTCTGACATCACCCTAAAGGCCCTGTCTCCAGTGCAGTGGCCCAGAGGGCTAGTGCTTCAACATATGAATTTGGGGGGCACAGTTCAGTTTATAGCAGCATTCTCTTATTTTCCTTTTAATGTCTGTGGGATCTGTAGTAATGTCCTCTTTTTCATTCCTTATATTGCCAATTTATCTCATCTTAATTTTCTTGTGGTTGTTGTTTTGCTATAGGATACATGTATTTGTCAGAAACAGAGAGATACAGAAAGAGAAAGAGAGAAGAAAAGTGAGAATGCCCTCCTCCCAGGGTGATTTCCCCAGGGGGATTGGCCATGCTGCAATTGCTTCTCCTCTTGTCTCCTCTCAGGATTTTGGACATACATACATATATGCCCCTTGTATTTTTCAAGCCTCTGGGTCTATGACTCAAACCATGTAGTTAACTATGTAGGATCTAGCCACCTTAACCTCAATGCCATCTGCTGGCCACTTCTCTAGGTTTTTTTTTTTTTTTTTAATAATTATTTTATTTAACTTTATTTATTTATTTATTTATTATTTCAAAATTTGACTAGAGAGGGACAGAGCAAGAGAGAAAGACAGAGAGAAGGCAAGCTGCCAGATTTGGGACCCAAACCACAGTTGGCCATGTGGGAGTCCAACACCCTTAACCACCATGCCACCTGCTGGCCCTCCACTTCTCTACTCTTTTATCAGTAAATGATTAGCCAATGGTTAGGTGTATCAGTTTCATTGATATTTTGATCTTTTCATAGAGCCAGCTTTTGATTTCATTGATATTCTTTATTTTCTTTTCTAATTGCCAGAGTATACATGCACTCACTGTAGAGAGACAGAGAGACACAGAAAAAGAGAGACAGAGAGAGAGAAAGCATCCCCACAATGGGGTGTGGTCATGCTGCAATTATTTCTCCTCCATTTCTCCATCCTTTTGGGATTTGAGGTATTCATACACTTGTACCCAGCATGTTTTTCAAGGGGCTGGGGCTAGAATTTGAACAGCAGTTGGCCTTATGGGATCCATTTCTCTTAATTACTAAATGATAGGTCCCATCCTTCTTTACTTTAAAAAAAATGTGTTTTTTGTTGTTGTTGTTTTGTTTTTATGTTTTTTTGTTTTAAATTTGCTATGGTCGTGTGCACTCAATAGGGAGGGACAGAGAGCGAGAGTGGAAATGCGAGAAAGCACCCAGGGGGATGGGATGACCACATTATAATCCTTTCTCCTCTTGGAAATTTGGGCTCACACACACATGCCTAGTGTGTTTTCATGCTGGGTCCGGGCCTCAAACCGTGTAGTTGGCTGTGTGGGGTCTACTGTGCCACTGTCTGGTTCTATTTTTGTGTTTAAGTTTAATCAATTTCTCTTCTTTATCTCCATCCTTCTGCTTCAACTGGGCTATGATATCCTCTAGTTACTTTATTTGGAAGCTTAGGTTACTTGAGATATTTTACTTTTTTTTTTTTCCAGATTATTATGACATACATTTTTACTCTTCCCCCCCCACTTTCTTTTTTTTTTACTTTTAGCATCAACAATTACTGCCATCATTTCCATCAAAGCACTACTCCCTACATTCCATGAAGCTGGGTGTGTTTGTATTTTCATTTTAGTTTTGTTCAAAATGCTTTACAAATGTTTGCGAGACTCTGTCTTTGACCCTGGGTATGTAGAAGTAGACTGGGAAATGTTTGAGAACTTTTCAGATATCGTTCTACTTTAATTCCATTATGTCAAAGAACATACTTTGAATGATTTCTGTTTTTTAAATTAGTTAAGGATGGTTTTAAGTCCCTGAAAATGGTCTATTTTGGTTAATATTCTGTGTGTAAAGAGCACATACTCTGCTGTGGGCGGAGTGTTCTATGATTTTCCACAGCTCAAATCGCTGTTTGGGTTTTCTAGATACTTCCTGAATCTGTTTACTTGCTCTATTGATTAATGAGAGAAATGTTGATGTCTCTGATTAATTTTCTTTCTGTTTTATTAGACTTTTGCTTTTTGTTTTAATCTCTCTTTTTATTCTTTTTTTCATTTTTTATTTTTAGTTTTTGCTATAGGGTGTGTGTGCTTTTCAGAGAGAGAACAAATGAGAAATTTCCATCCAGAGAAGATGGCCACACTGCAGTCCCTTCTCCTCCAGTCTTCTCTTGAGATTTTGGGCATGCACACGCACATGCCTGGTGTGATTTTCAAGCTGCCAGATCTGGGACTCAAACCACACAGCTGGCCATGTAGGATCCAGCAACTTAACCTCCATACCACCTGCTGCCCCCTGCTTGGTGTGTTTTGACCTCTGTTACTAGATTTCAACACATTTAGGATCCCCATGTCTTCTTGGAAAATTGATTCCCTTCCTCTCTGTGTGCCTGGTGGTATACCTTGTCTGGAAGCTTCCTCTGTCCCTGTCTGGTATAGCCCCTCCAGCACCATCTGGCTTGGGTTTGCACCGACCGCCTTCCCTGTCCACGTCTCTCCCACCTGCATCTTTGTCGTCACGGCTTCATCCCACAGCTCTCTGATATCAGCACGGCACTGTCCACACAGCCGACCCCGAGTGTCTATGCCTGCCCCCTCTGCAGGTCGTGTGTGTTCGAGGTCAGGCGAAGTCCCCATGGCCTCCCAGGCTGTCAGCCAGAGCCAGGCACAGACTGTGCAGTACACAGGCCTGCAGGGTGTGGGGGCTTGGATGGAAAACCCACCCTGTGTTGACAGGCAGTGTCCTCCCTGTGGTGGGAGTACATGAGCTCCCACTGGGAGCTCTCAGCCCCCCAGAGGCCTCTGCTCAGATGTCCATGCCTTGTCCAGCACCAGAAGTGGAGGCTGTGCGCCTGGTCGACTGGGCTTGGTGTGAGAGTTAGGGAATAAAGAAGATGCCCAGCTTCGTAGAGTTGAGTTGAGATTTTACCCAGGACAGAGGAAGCCTGTTGGCCAAAGCACGGGCCACACAGGGGCAGATCAGAAGAGGATGATGACCCACCACGCACCCACAGAGAGGTTGCACAGCCTTGGTGCCCCCTGGGAGGTGCATGGCACTTGAAGGCCAGAGCTCCCGGGGCCACGCGTGCCAGCTCGTGGAGACCTATGTTATGGCTCTCGTGGTCTGAAGACAGGGCCTCTGGTTACTCTTCCCCTGGGCTTCTGAGCCAGGGGACCTGATGCTGCCACAGAGGTGTATGGGGGGACGTGGCAGTACCAGCCCAGTCCCAGTCCAGGGCCACGGCATCTCTGTGCTCAGAGCGACATGTGGGAGTGGCTCCACAGGCAGGTGGCCTTTGACCCAGTGTGTGGGTGGCCTGGAGTGCCCCTGCCTTTGGGATCTGGGCAGCTGTGGCTGCTCGGGGGGCCACATGGGTCCTCACCACCAACTCCAAACTCCATTGACTTTCAGGCTGAAGACGATGATCCCACCAGGCGAGTGCACGTATGCTGGGAGGAAGAGGAGGAAGCCTGTCCAGAAACAGTAATGGCAGCCCTGGGTCCTTCTGAGGGGGAGGGCGGGTGCCTCACTGACCCTTGACCTTGGGAACGCACAGGGCTGGGCTGGCACCAGGCAGGAGTGGCTGCTTTTCAGCCTCCAAGAAAGGAAGGTCAGGGGGAGGGACACCATGTTGGCCAGAGCCTCCCAGGTCCCCAACGCTCCCACTGTCGCTGCCCCAAGAGACCTGGTACTGGGGAGCCTCCCAGCAGCCCTACTGTCACACTGTGGGTGACGGGGGTGAGCAGCCCTGGGACCTGCTAACCTTCCAGCGCTTTACCTGGGCACAGGATGGCCCAGGCCTGCCCACAGGACACAAGCACGGCTGCCCACGGGCTCCAGTGCTGTGGCTCCATGGTGAGAGGACTGGGGCGCTGGCAGCTACAACAGTGCAGAACAGGCAGAGCAGCTGTGGGGGTGAGGGTGGTGGTCTGGAAGCCCATGGTGCCTTCTGTCCTCAGACCGAGTCCTACGGGCACAGCCGTGGTGTGAGGCGTGTGGCGGCGTGTGCCCCTGCAGCTTGTCCATGTTGGGTCTGTACCTGGCAGGAAGCTGCCCTCTGCCCCCAAGCACCCACACAGGGGCCACGCACTGCCCCACACTGCCCACCACCCATCACCCCCAGCACTGGTGTCGACCTGCTTTAGAGGCGAGTTTGTCCTGGGCTGGTCAGTGGCAGAGACCTGGGTGGACAGTGCTCTGTGGGGTGGGACCGAGCTGGTGAGCTGAGCAGGAGCCAGTGAGGACTGAGGCTCTGAGAGGGACCAGCAGCGGTGAACAGAAGCCCAGTCCAGGGGCTCTGCACCCCCATGTGCATTTCAGAATCAGCTTGTCGGTTTCTGTGGAAAGGTCAGAGTTGTAGTTGAGGTCATCTCGTGTCTACAGATCAGTCGGGAGAGTCTCTGAGCATTGAGTCCTCCGACTCAAGAGCAGGGCAAGTCTCCACTCACTCGGTCTCTAACGTGTCTTAGCCGTGTCTGTGGCTCTGGTGGCCCTGTGGCTGTCTTGATACAGCTGCGTGTGGTGCAGTGGCCCACTCATTGCCTCTCCTGTGGCAGCTTCTGGGTGTCCCCAGCTCATCCTGTGGAGCTGCCTCCTCTGCTCCTGGACCTGAGCCCAGACCAGCTCCGTGGAGGACTCCCCCTCATACAGCCCTGTGACCCCTGGCTCCACATCCCTTTTCTACCTGGCGGGTGTCCACACCCTGGCCACAGCAGGGCACTGGGATGGGTTTTGTGGCCAGGACACACTGGCCAGGCCCTGTGGTCTGACTTCACCAGGCAGAGGCCCGGCGTCCGTGTCTGGGCTGTGTGCCCCAGGGAGGCCTGGGGGAGGGCAGAGCATGGGTCTTTGCATTTGCAGGTGCACCCTGCATGGGGAGCTTGGCCTCCCAGGCCCAGGCGGGCAAGATCTGAGCTAGGGCTCGGGGCTCTTGGAGAGGCCGTGCCCTGGGGTGACCGCAGGGCACTGAGGCAGCAGAGGTGGGGGCATGGCGAGGCTGGTGGCTCAGAGGGCTGTGGGCCTGGGCAGGGGCGAGGCGGACATGTGGACCACTAGCTAGAGGTGCTTCCTGCCCATGGGCGCCTCTTCCAGGGGCTGTGCTCACCTGCTCTCCATGTCTGCATCCACCCTGTTCTGCCTGGGCCGCTGTCCCACCACCCTGGGGTCACTTCCCCGCATCCTGCCCTGCTACCCATCAGGTGCTCCCGTGTTTTCTGGTGTCTCCCACGGCAGCTGAGCCTCTCCTCTGGCCAGTACACCTGGCCTCAGTCCAGTCTATCCCCTGGTGCTACTGCCTCTGTTGATTTTGATACCAGCTTGGGGGACAGGGGTACCAGGTTAAAAATAAATGAACAAACAAAAAATCAGTAGAAAGTGAAAACATAACCAAAGATAATAGCCAAAATGAGGAGAGACTTAGAAACCGTGTAAGGAGTCTAGTGTCCAGAATACACAAAGCCCTTACGACTCCAAGGGAGACAGCCTGCTAGAAAAGTGGGCACAGGGCTCCGACAGGCATTTCTGCAGAGAAGACGTGCAGGCGGCACTGGCACAGCCTTCAGGCGCGCTGGCCGGTCGGCAGTGACACCACTCAGAGCCCACAAGGGCGCTGGAGGTGGAAAACGAGGACGCAGCCGTCTGGGCACTTCTGGAGGGCAGGAAACCGGGGCAGCAGCTGTGGGCGGCAGCTTGGTGTCCCTCAGAAGTGAGACGCAGACTGCCCCTCCAGCCCAGCAGCCCCACCCTGGGTGTGCCCTGAGGACTGGAAGCACACGGCCGCGTGGTCTTCTACATGGATGTCGCTGCTGCTCTGGACGCCATCGCCCCAGAGAGGAGACAGCCTGAGTGTGCGTCAGCTGGCAAGTGGGTCACGTAGGGCAGGGTCCGTCCACAGGGACAAGGCGCCAACATGGCTGGGACTCAGCTGACCTTAGAATGCAGCGGGTTTGGGAGGGGCCAGGCGCAGCCCCTCCCGTGTGAGGTTCTAACAGACAAGTCTGTGCAGAGAACAACCTGGCAGCGCCGGACATGAGGGACAGGACGAGGGAGCGGGAGGGCCCACTCCGGGCAGAGCATGGCTCCACTAGGGGCCTTCTGGGCCACGCTGTGGGGTTTCTAGTAAAGTGGGGGTTCGAGACCTGTAGCCTGCTTGTTCTCAGCAACCTCAGGTGCTGACATACAGACAAGGAGTCACAGACAGGGACCGCAGGAGCCCCAACTCTGTGATGCTCCAGGGACCCACAGAGCTTGGTCCAGTAGCCAGAGCTCCATTTCTGAGCTCTTCTGTCCCCTTCCGAAGCACAGGGACTGGCCTCCACCCCGGCTGCCCTTCCCTCTTACAGACGCTTCATGAGGGTGAGGAGAATGAGTGTCAGTGGACACTGTCCTGTCTGTTCAAGCACATCAGAGAAGGGGACATCACGCGGTAGGAGAGGGACAGGGAGGGGACAGTCTCAGAGAGGAGAGGGACAGGGAGGGGACAGTCTCAGGAGAGGGACAGGGAGCGGACGGTCTCAGAGGGGAGAGGGACAGGGAGCGGACGGTCTCAGAGAGGAGAGGGACAGGGAGTAGTCTGTTGCTGTGGGGAGAAGGCGAGCAAGGACAGTCCCTGAGTCAGGCTGGCCGCACGTGGCCTGGAAGGAAGCCCGGCCGTGCCTGTGTGTGTGCCGGTGTGCTGTGAGTGCGTGACGAGGGCCCTGGCCGTGTGCTTGTTGGCCCTGCACAGCCAGGTCGTCCATGGTGCCCTGGAGGTCCCCAAGGAGCCGCACCTGAGCCCCTCCCAGTCCTTGTGAAGAGGGCCAGTCACGGCTCTACGGGCCATGGGCCACGAGATTGTGCGAGCTCCCTGCTGTGCAGTCATGGTGGGCGCTCATGCTGACACGGGTAGGGTCTTGTCCTAGAACACGCTCTATTTGTTCCAACACTGAGGAGCCCCCAGGGAGGCCCAGTGAGGGCAGCAGTTTCCACCCACAGTTTTCCTGTCCCCTGGCAGCCTGGGCCTTCAGGGAGCCGAAGCACAGAGACCAAGAAACATGCCAGAGTCACACAGCGGGCGCCCGGCCCTGCCCCTGCCTCTGAGCGCAGGTCTGGGCTCTGCCTGCACACTAGTTCCTGCTGCCTCTGCACTTCCAGCTTCTCCGGGATGCACGAGTCTTGACTTGGTGGCTGTGGGATTGGGAATGGGCGCCTGGTGGGGCTCCGAGTCCCACCTGACAGAGGTGATGTCCTACAGGAGGCCTGCTGTGGGGACAGAGAAGTCAAACCCTTCCAAGCGGCACCGGGACCGCCTCAACGCAGAGCTGGACCACCTGGCCAGCCTGCTGCCCTTCCCCCCCGATGTCATCTCCAAGCTGGATAAGCTGTCCGTCCTGCGCCTCAGCGTCAGCTACCTCCGGGTGAAGAGCTTTTTCCAAGGTAGGACTCACACCTGGCCCTGTCGGGTCCCTTGGGTGTTGCTGGGGTCCTGCTGGGTCCAGCTGTCATCAGGCCTGGCCCCGTGCTCTCCCCCATCGAGCTAGACCCCACGGATGACAGTGCCGGGCCCTTGGCTGGGGCCGATAGGCTTCCGCTGGCTTTGCCCCTGGGTCCTGGGGTCAGGAAACCAGTGCAGCTCTGGTGGGAGGGCCAGGGCTGGCCCTTGCTGCCCGGCTCACTGGGGTACCCCCCAGCCCAGGGCACCAGGGCATGGAAGAGCAGTTCTGGAGGAGGTCGAGTTCTGCGGCTCACCAGGCTTCTGGGTGTCAGCGCCCACCCTGTGCCACACCAGGAGGTCTGCAAGGCCAGCGTGCTGGCGAGGGCTCCCTCCGCACTGCAGACTGGGTGAGTCCCAGCGAGCACAGGTCCTGGGATGTCGTAGCGTTTGCAGTGGGTGAAACAGCAGGCCTCCCATTCCCCGTGTGTCCTCCTTTCTCATGGGAGCACTTCAAGCCCTATGTTTTAGAGGACACCGCGAAAGTTTCCTGGATCTGTTTGCACTGTTAGTTAGAATAAAGTCAGGCTGGAAAACGTGGGTCTTTATCCATAGTCTTGACTCAGACATGGATGAGCGAAAGTCATGTCTGGGTGGGACATGACTGCGGTGTTCCCACCTCGAAGGGTGACAGCAGCCTGAACTCGAGCTGTGGTTTTAGATGGACTTTTGTGCATTTTGAAGATAGGCTTCACTTAATTTTATTTATTTGGATTTTGTACAAAGCAAAGGTGGAAACAGCATTTTTAAGTTTTAAAACTCCTCTGCTTCTCTCTCCTGTGGGTGACTATCAAGGTGGAGGTTTCCCATGTCTAGATTTTACTGCTCATGATGGGGAGAACTCAAGGTAACGAGACAAGGGAGGCAGGGGTAGACGGCCTCCCACTGCCTGCAGCTTAGAAGGCCCAGGGCAGGGCCTGGGAACCACATCGGCCATGCCCTCGGGCAGGGAGCCCCAGCTCAGAACCTGGGATGTGGAGCCCTGAGCACGGAAGGGTGCCTGGCATGGTCAGCTCACCCTCTCTGGGTGGGCTCCTTGGAGGCAGCTGCCTCTGTCCACTCCCTGTGGTCAGTGGGACCTGGGAAGGAAGGTGCCTGGGAGTGGAAAGCCTTGGGCACTGATGGCCAAGGGCCCATGGTCTGCCCAGACGGGCACATGGAGCGTGTCCACCCTGTGACTCACTGGATGGACACGTCAGTCGGCAAACAGATGTGTGTTTTGTAGCTGTGGAGAGGACTGATGGGGGTGGAGGATGCTATCTCAAAAAGCAAAACAAAGCAGGACGGCAGAGAAGAAAGCGCAGCTGAGTCTCAGTGGAGACCGTGAGCCTTTTCCTGCCCTCCCTCTGCTCTTCACTTGCCCCATGGCCGTGGCTGTGGCTGTGGCCATGGCCGTGGCCCTCTCAGGACTGTTGGATCCCTGGCAGTCCCTGCATCCCACTGAGACTGGGTCCACAAGTGCCTGTGCCCCCCTTGTAGCCCCCGCCTGCGCTGGTCCTTCCCCAGCTCCATGGCCTGGACAGGCATGTCTACTCCATCACACTGCAGGTGCAGCCAGCGCAGCAGCTGGGACCTCCCGGTGCACCCTGGGGTCCCACGCTCGGGAGCAGCCCATCAGAAGTTAAGTGCTCCTTAAGCCTATAAACGTTGTTGTAAACCCAGAGCTAAAGCTGAACCATGCCAACTTCCGTTTTTCCCTCAACGATGCTTGTTATGCTTCAAATGATTGCGTGTCAGCCTGAGTTCTCCCCAGAACTCACGTCACGGGTTTCCAGAGCTGTGAGGCAGTAGCGCCTGTCGTCTGAGCCGCCCGCACAGCGGTGCTGTGCTGTAAGCAACTGGGAAGATGCGATTTTGGTACTGAGACGTGGGTGCGGCTGGGACAGGTACCAAGAGTATGGACGTGGCTTTGGAACTGGGCGGCGGGTGCTGGTTGGAAGAGTCCTGAGGCGCGTGCTAGGAAGAGTCACGGTTTCTGCGAGGGGCTGTCAGGGTTAGTGTGGACATCAAAGGCAACTTAGTCTCAGAAAAGAGAGGGGCTGTAGAGAGGCCTCTGCAGTCTGGGAGAGTGTGCGGGGCGTCAGGGACAGAACATTGGTAGAAACACGTATGTTAAAGGTGATTCTGCAAGGACTCCAACAGAAAGGAGGGGCATGTTCTTGTGAACGGGAGGAATCGGGAGCCAGCTGGTGGTTAAGGCAGCTGGATCCCACATGGCCAGCTGCATGATTTGCCTGAGTTCTCCCCAGAACTCACGTCACGGGTTTCCAGAGCTGTGAGGCAGTAGCGCCTGTCGTCTGAGCCGCCCGCACAGCGGTGCTGTGCTGTAAGCAACTGGGAAGATGCGATTTTGGTACTGAGACGTGGGTGCGGCTGGGACAGGTACCAAGAGTATGGACGTGGCTTTGGAACTGGGCGGCGGGTGCTGGTTGGAAGAGTCCTGAGGCGCGTGCTAGGAAGAGTCACGGTTTCTGCGAGGGGCTGTCAGGGTTAGTGTGGACATCAAAGGCAACTTAGTCTCAGAAAAGAGAGGGGCTGTAGAGAGGCCTCTGCAGTCTGGGAGAGTGTGCGGGGCGTCAGGGACAGAACATTGGTAGAAACACGTATGTTAAAGGTGATTCTGCAAGGACTCCAACAGAAAGGAGGGGCATGTTCTTGTGAACGGGAGGAATCGGGAGCCAGCTGGTGGTTAAGGCAGCTGGATCCCACATGGCCAGCTGCATGATTTGAGTCCCAGACCTGGCAGCTTGTAAAACACAGTAGGTGCATATGTGTGCGTGCCCAAAACCTTGAGAGGAGAGGAGGAGAAGTATTGCCGGCCTGGCCACCTCCGGGAGGTGGGGGTGTGCGTTCTCACCTTCCTGTTCTCTCTCAGTCTCTGGAAGGCACGTGCGCCCTACAGCAAATTAAATAATAAACAAGTAAAAAACAATGAACTGGAGGAATGGTGATCCTTATAAAGTAACCAAGAACTTGGCTTAACTATGGCCTCGTGTTTTGTGAAAAGAACTTGTGAGTGATGAAATTAGACTCTAGTTACAGTAAAATAAATGCAAGAGGAGAGAGAAAAATGGAAGAGATGGTCTGGACAGAGAGAAAAAGGACTATCCCTATTCCAAAGTGGAGAGGCGTGTTCTGGAGACAACGAAGGTACGAATGGGTCAGAACAGCCTCCTGATGGACCAGCAGTTAGCGTAATGGCTATGTCGCTGGACTCCCACGTAGTCGACCGCAGTGCGAGTCCCAGACTCGGTGGCTTAAACTCACGCCAGGCGCGTGTGCGTGCGTGCCCAAGATCCCGAGAGGAGAATGGAGGAGAAGGGATTGCGGCGTGGCCATCCCCCCTGGGGGGTGATTTCTCGCTTTCTGTCTCTCCGTCTCTCTCTGTCTGTCTGGCGAGCACATGCGCCTTACAGCAAAAACTTCTCCAAATAAATAAATGAATAAATAAAAATTAAAAAAGAAAAGAAGAACAACCACCTGATAAAGAAGCGGCGTGGTGTGAACCATGGGTTTAATCAGCTACCTCAGGAGCCAGGGGTAAAGGTGGGATCATGCCAGCAGAAATACTGCCAGTCTGGGCCGAAGGCAGCAGGAGGGGAAGGTCCAACTTCAGCTGCCGACATGCCTTGTCACTCGAGAGGGAGGGGGAATGGCCCCGCAGGTGCCCCAGAGGCTGCCACTCCCACACGAGGGAGGCAAAGTTGATTTCTTCGTGGTTTTAGAGGGAGGGGTCAGGAAGCCACCCAGAGGGCGGTGGGGTGTCACTGCCACCCCAGCAGGCCTGATAGTGGAGCCCTGAGCACAAGAGGGTTATTCTTGGGCCTCAAGATCTCACCGGATTTGCCTTACTAGGTCTGAGACCAGCTTGGGACCCATCTCCCTTCTCCCTCTGGTCTCTCCCTCCTGAGGTGAGAACTCTGTCCTGGCCTGTCTGCCATCTCCTCCAGAAGCACTTACCTGGTCACACAGGTTCAAGCTAAGGGCAGCTCTACCTCAGGCTGCATCGAACCTGAGTCTCACCCATGTCTGACTTTGAGGATGTTAAGATAAAACCTTGGCTTTTGATTGTAGAGTCAGTGCTGGAATGAGTTAAGACTTTGGGGCTGTTGGGACGGAGTGAGTGTATTTGATGTGAAGAATGAGTTTTGTGGGGCCGGGGCAGCAGGTTGCCGTGGTGTTTCTCCACCTCAGGCCCATGTCGGATCCCTCACCCCGGTTCGGCTTTATTCAGAGATGGAGTCCCTAAGGAGTGATGCGGTGAAGTGAGCCCATGACGCAGGGGCTCTGGGCGGAGAGGGTTGGCAAAGACACAGAGAGACTTAAGGGAGCTTGCTCTGTCCACAAGCACCGAAGAAGCCATGCGAGGACGCAGTGAGGGGGTGTTACCGAACTCCAATCAGGTCCGCTTGCCCAAGCGCTATAAAACCAAGCCATAGGCACATGGTGTGATGAAGGAAAGCGCAAAGCAAGGAGAGTGGGCAGCTCATGCTGAAAAGACCCGGTCTCCCCGAGATGTTCCCCACATGCGTTTTTAAGGACAGAAATTAGGGGCAGAGGTCCCAGGTGCATGATCAGTTCAGTGATTGGTTCAAGAGGGTGTGATCATCGGGAACCAGCAGTTAGTGTAATGGCTATGTCGCTGGACTCCCACGTAGTCAACCACGGTTCGCGTCCTGGACCCGGTGGCTTAGAACTCACGCGGGGCGCGTGTGCGTGCATGCCTGGGATCCCGAGAGGAGAATGGAGGAGAAGGGATTGCAGCGTGACCATCCCCCCTGGGGGGTGATTTCTCACTTTCTGTCTCTATGTCTCTCTCTGTCTGGCGAGCGCACACGCCCTATAGCGAAAACCTCTCAAAAAAATAAAAAATTAAAAAGAGGGCGTGATCATCTCATGGGCATTCTTGATTGGTGAGGCCTTAGATGATCAAATTCTCTTCAGG